TCAACTCCTTTCTCTGCCAAGAGTAGCGTTCGCTGAGGCTCGAGAACGGAGTTGAGTCGTTCCAGTACTGAATCATCGGCCAGCGAGATTTCGTCGAGGAGGAAGAAGTGTCCCCCTCGCATAGCCTCTACAAGGGCACCGTCAGACCATTCAAACAAAGCCATGCTCCTTGTCTCATTCGTCGATATCCTTTCTTTGATTTGCTCGGGGATGGCATCAAGGATTGTGCTGTCAAGCGATTTATACCTCTCCAGCCTATCTGCCGGCGAACCAGAGACGTCAACGCCGCACTGTCGCAAGACCTCGGTCACATCAGCGTCCAGTGCCTCGAGGATTGCACCCCTATTTCGGATGGGGCGCTGAGAGCCAATAATGTCTCCAGTCTCCGTGTTCTGGTGGGCATTGACGATGTGCAGCTGCCTGCCCAGAATCTCGGCGAGCAGTTGCACCACTGTGGTTTTGCCGCATCCAGTCTCACCAACCAGGAGAACGGGCTCGTTGTTCTGTAGTGCTCGAGACACGAGCACATACAGCCTCCTTATAGCGTGAGTCCAGACAACGCCTTGAGCATTGGCCCGATGGGCAATCTGCTTCAATTCGGGCGCCAATTCCGCTGAGTAGAGATCATGTGGGTTGAGTGTAACCTTGAACACCTTTTCAATGACTTCTTTAACGGCAGTGCGTTCTTCATCATTGCGAACCCTCTCTGCCAGCAACATGAAACCATGCGCAGCAATCTCCTCACGTGTATCCGCCTTTCTGAGAGCCCATCGGAACAGATCTCGTAGAGTGGCAAAGCTGTCTTTCTGTTCAAAGACTCTGCTCGTTTGGCGAAGGCGCGATAGCTCCTTGTAGACATTGACGATACGTCTACAGTCAGGAGGGGAGGTGTTGCGGCTGCGCTGCTGAAGAATGTACTCCAGCTCATCCTCGGGAATATCGTCGAAATGTAACTCAAGGAATCGATTTCGAAAGGCCCTGGACAGCACCTTTCTGCCTCCGTAAAGACCGGGGGGGTTTTGCGTAGCGAAGAGAATGAAGTTTTCGTGGGGCTTGACAACCTCCTGCGTCTCGGGAATCAACAGCTCGCGGTTATCGTCCAGAAGACGATTGAGGGCTTCGAGAACATCAGTCGGCGCCAAGTTCAGTTCATCGAGCACGATCCAGTGCCCCTGTCGCATGGCCTGGACAAGGAGACCTTCCTGGAAGCGCAACTTCCCATCAGGCCCTGAAATGTATGTGCCCAGATACTCTTGAAGATCAGTGTGCTCGTGGTTGTTGATTCGGACAAATCGGTTCCCTGTAAAGTTTGCCAAGTACTCAATCATACTTGTTTTACCAGCCGACGTAGGTCCTTGAATCAGGATGGGGAAGCGCCTCGTGGAGGTTGCTCGGACAAGGTTAAGTAGGTTTCTCTCCACGTAAGGGGTTATGATGTAGTCATCTCGCTCGATGGGGGTCTCCTCGCCTTGGAACAGCCAGTATTGTCGATCCCGGCTCTGGTTCTGGAACTTGACATATTGTCGGCCATCGCCGGGGTGTTTTGGAGGCTGAGATAGGAGGGATTGCGGATTTCCATGCTTGTCTAGGAGATGGTGGTATATCAGGGGCAGGAGCATCTTTTCAGAGTTTCGGTCTAACAGTGTCAGGAAACCCATAGAGAATCCTTCGTACATTGCTCGACGCAGGCCGTAAAAGGGAGCTATAGTGTTGACATAGCTCAACACTCGGGTCAGCGTACGCAAACTGAAGTGAGGAACTTCATTCGCTCCGTCAACCAAGCGCTTCTCCTCCGCCATTCGCTTGGTGTTGAGGTAAAGGCGCGCAATATCATCGCCCGCCTGATCGTTCTTGTTGCTGCCATTGCCCAAGTATGTCTTGATGATGGTGAGGAGATCCTTCAAGTCTTTGTCGGGGCTCTTCACATAGAGCTCGGTGAACCTTGACCGAATGCCAATGGGCAAATCTCGTTTTCCAATATCGGTCGCCGGGTTCATGGCACCAAAGATGCGGAAGTTTGGGTGCGCCACGATCTTTTCAATCTCTCCTGTTTCAGAGAGAAGGATAGACGGCCTTTCGTTCGGGCCGGTCAAGAGGTCTGTGATGCTTTCGAGTGTGTCTGGTGAAGCTAGGTTAATCTCGTCCAGAAGAACCCAGTCGCCATTTCTGACGGCCTTTACCAGATTTCCTTCCACAAAGGAGAATGCAAAGGTGCTTGATCCAGAAATCTGTATATCAAACTGCTCAAGAGTCCGGGCAAACTGATCCCACCGAGGCTTCAGTTCCAGAAGCGCCTGTAGCTTGGACTGAGTCTTCCGCCTCTTGGTAGGTTGGGCGTCGTCCCCATTCCTCGCCTCAGCCTTTTCCAGTTGAACTCTCTCAAGCTCAGCTACGATCTTGAGGAACATCTTGGGCGCCTCTCTCCACAGCTTTGATAGCCTTGACCACTGTCCCTTGGCGAAGCACTTGCCTACCTGCTCCAGATATTTCTGATTCTTGGATGCAGATATTCCCGTCGCTGCAAATAGGTCTTCGAACTCTTCCTTGAGGGGCACAGCCAGGCTTCGGACGTTGACGGGCTTGAAGCCACCTAGAAGGTCGCCCACCTCGCTTTGCTGTGAAAGGTTGACTGCGATCAGCTTGTGACCAAGCGACTCGGCCAGCTGCTGGACGACAGTCGTCTTTCCTATACCCGTCTCTCCGACGAGAAGCACCGGCTCGTTGAGCTTGACCGCTACTGCAATCTGCTCCAATAGCTTCTTTGCGTGAGAAGTGCTTGCAAACGGCCGCTTCGACTTTTGCAATCGGGTAACCGTCTTCTTCTTCCGCAGCTGCACCCGTCCAATGCTAAACTGAGCATCATTCTCTTCCAAAGGGGGTATATTGGCAGTCAAATAATGGTCTGCCCGTTCTTTGGACAAATGCATCTCTTCAGCAATGGCATATGTGAGTTGTCGTCCGAGCTCGTCATCTGGACAACTGCCCACGAAGCAGTCGACCGCTTCCATAAACATCCAGTCTCGCGTGGTTTCGGTGATGGGCTCCTCTCCAGTCGTCGATCCAGCAGCCAGCAGGCACTCCTGTAGTCTTCGGCACCACTTCAAGAGATCCCTCAGGTTCATCTGTCGATCCATTACTCGGCCGCGAGACAGAGAGCGGGGCCCGCTGGTTACTTGTGCCAGACGGCCATAGACAGCAATAATCCCAGGAAGAAACTTCTTCAGGATTGGATGCGTCTGAAGAACTACCTCCTCCAGCTCGGACTGAACCATGGGCTCCGTGTACAGAGACTGCCAAAACCGCATGCCGACAATGCTGGGCAGATTCTCGCGTCCATTCATGCCCATGGACGTCCTCACAGTCGCAAAGAGGCGGAAGCTGTTTGCAGCCTTTATCCTCTCTCCCCGGCTTGGGATCAACAGTTCGTTGCGCTCAATCAGGGGTAGGAAAGTACTGAGAACCTCGGTCGGGGCGCGGTCCAGATCCTCCACCAAAACCCATCTGCCTTCCTTGATTGCTGTGGTTAGCACACCTGGACGCCAGGAGAAGCTGCCGGGTTTCGAATCCGTCGAGTACAGGCCAATGAGCATCTTGGCGTCTGTCTGCTCGTTCAAGTGTAGCGTCACCATGCCGGAGTACATGCCCAGCTGCTTGGCTATCTCATGGACCAGCGCCGTCTTTCCACTGCCGGGCAAGCCATGAAGAAGGATAGGCTCGGGATTGCGAATCATGGCAGCGAGGCGCTCGAGGTTGCTGGTGGTCGTCGCCGTCATGACGAGATCTGATGGGCCGCCCGTGGGCACGGACGGTCGTGGGAGAACAATCTTGCCATAGGATACGGCATGCTGGGTGAGAGACTGGAGGAACGGCTGGCATTCGCCTTGAGACTCTTCAGCATATCGCTTCACCTGCTGGCGCAGTGCGATGATCTTCTTGGCACGCGCGTGCTCATGCAGCGACAGAAACCCGTAGTCCACCAATGCGCCGTCGAAATCAGCGGTGATGGCATTTGCACTGCCGACGTGCAACTCGATGAGCGACTCCAGTTTGTGGTCAGAGGCGTGAAACAGCTGGCAGAAGATGCGAATCGCCAGATATCTCACTGCCCTGCTCTCATGCGCAAACAAGCTCTGCAGGTAATCGGGTGAAATTAATGAGCTGAACGTCCTCAAATCGAAGCTGAAAAGCCTCCAGTATGTTAGTAGAGCCTGCAATAATGCGTCCGCATCCAAGCCCAGAGAAACACCGTCGAGGGCCGGCAGCACCAGGTGAAGTGAAGGCCCCTGCACAGCGTCTTGCTCTCCCGCCTTGCCGGGACACCTCAGAAAAGTCGAGAGATAGGGCGCAAACGGTAGAATCCTGGCAATTGCCGATGCAACCAAGAGTCGTCGCGATCCATTGCCGGCGTTGAGGATCCATCGCGCGCAGATGTCGGAAAAGACGTCCTCGAAATGCGCAAAGATGCGCTCTGTAAGTGTTGGTGTGAGCGCCGCTTCCGCGACAGCATCAAAGAGCTTCGTCGACGGCTGATGCTTGATAATCTCAAGCAGCTCAGCGGGCAGATGGTCCAAAGCAGCCGCATCCCGCAGGAGCGACCTCCTCTGCCGAGAGACATCAATCATGGCCATGATTGAGCTCTTTTTCTCGTCGAACGAAATTGCCGTCTCTCGTGAAACTGCTGCTTGATGCTGCTCTTGGACTTTTTTTTCCTCCAACTTTTTTTTTTATATGAGCGTCCCGCCAACTTTTTCTTTTCCTAGTCGGGAACAAGGGTGCGGGAAGGAGGGGCACTCGGGGCTACGAATTTCCGGGCCAATCAGGAGCCGCTCAGACCGGCAAAGGTGAAGCTTTTCGAAAAACTTCAGGACAGGCCATTCTCACGACGAGCGGCCAAGGCACAATTATCGACAAGCAGATTGCCCCACGAACTCCGCGAATTGGGCCGCGTTACCTGCTCCTGCTCCAGCTCCAGCCTTCATCATCTCTCCCCAACCACAGCAATGGCCTCTCCGTGTCGGTTTGCGGCGCGCTCCTGCGCCCGCCAGCTGCGGTCCGCCGCCGCTCCTCGATCACCCGCACAAGCCTTCCGAGTGTCATGCGCCTCGAGGCGGTACAACTCAACCGAGGCCGAGGCCGTCAACCCCAAGATTGCCGACATTGTCGACCAGATCAGCAAGCTGACGCTGCTGGAGACTGCTGATCTCGTCTCAAGCCTAAAAGTAAATAGATGCCCACCAAAGAGACACTCTCTCACACACACACGAAGTGGCCCGATAGCCAAACCACGGCCGTCATTTCCCGCAAGCACCGTGACTAACCTGATGTTTTCCTTCTTCTTCCCTCTCTCTAGAGCAAGCTGAACATCCCCGATATGCCCATTGGCGGCTTCGCTGCCCCTGCCGCCGCCGCACCCGCCGCCGCCGTTGAGGAAGCCGAGGAGGCCCCCGCTGCCCCCGCCGAGAAGACGCTCTTCACGCTGAAACTGCAGTCGATTGACCCCGCGGCCAAGGCCAAGGTCATCAAGGAGGTCAAGGGCATGCTGGGCCTGAGCTTGGTGGACAGCAAGAAGTTTGTCGAGAGCGCGCCCAAGATGATGAAGGAGAACGTGCCCAAGGAGGACGCGGAGAAGATTATTGCCACCATGAAGGAGCTTGGCGCGGTGGTTGTGATGGAGTAAGGGAAAAGAGAAAAGGCGAAAGGAAAGGGCAAAATATGGGAGGGATTGTCTGCATGATCTTAATGACACGATAGATGGTCGAGGTACATGTACAAAAATCTTGTGTATTATATATATCGAAGAAGAGATGATTTTTTTCCACGTTCTTCCTCTGCATGTCACGGAGTCAATTGGTCTCGTTGTTCCTGCAGCCATCGTTGAACTGCAGAATCCTTCTTTCTCCAGTATCATGGGACGATATAGCAATTCGGGGTATCTCAACGTTCCATAGATACATACAGTTCTCATACCCAATGCGGTACCTGAAAGACACACACATACACACACAAACGCCGCCCAATGCAGATATACTAACATGACAGAGAGAAGAAGAAGAACAAAAGCAAAATCAATGGCGTTTGCCATTCGTCGGCTGCTGGTGCGAACACTGCTGCATCTCCATCTCCTTGGTAAAGTCGTCCCCCTCTTCCGTCAGCAGCCGGTCGTCGTCCTCGCCAAAGTCGCTCGTCTCCTCCCACAGCTTCGTCATCTCGGCGTCTTCTCCCTTGGGGACGGCCCAGATCCTCTCCCGCTCGCGCTTGTGCCGCTCGCGATCCTCTTCGATCCGCTGCTCGACCTGTCGCTTATCCAAGCCGTGAGACGCGGGCCGCCGCCGGGATTTCGACTCGGAGCCCGGCGCGTCCGTCATGTCCACGTCGCTGTTGGGGGACGCGAGGCCCAGGTCGTCATCGTTTGTCCCACGCTCCTTGATGACGTCCTCAATCTGCGCAACCACCTGGTGCTCGAGGAAGCCCTTGTTCTGGAGCCCGTTCAGGACCTGATTGATGCGGCAGTCAGTCAAAGAGGCAAAGCTGGGGGGGGTTAGTGAGAATGGTCGTTCACACTTTTCGGACAACTTTGACATTGGCCGCGCCGGAGCCGTCGTCAGGGGCCACTGCATCGACCACCCGGATGATGTCGCGCTGCATCATGCGGATGTAGTCCGAGTGGCCATCGCGCTGCGCCATGTCGAGGAAGTGCTCTATGAAGTACATGATATTGGCACGTGTATTCATGTTGTTCTGTGGAGGCTCGGTCAGCATTGATCAGATCAGCCAAAAGAAAGGCAAGGTCTCGTTGAGAAGCCATCATCGTCGCCAATCTTCGTCTCCCACTCACCCGTTCAACCTGCTCGAGGATGCATGAATGCAGGTCCTCGTCCATGTCCTTGTATTTCAAGGCATATTGCGCCGCCTTTTGCGCCGAGGCAACGGAGGCATTGAGGTGCTGCAGCTGCGAGCTGAAGCGCATGCGGACCTCGAAAGGATCCGCCATGTTGCGCGCGAGTCCTCTGTCTGGAGAAATCTCTTTGTCGATGTCTGAAGTGCTGCAGCGTGGGAGGCGCAAGGCTGAGATGAAATGGAGGTTGATCTGCGCCTCACTGTGGCTTGACTACCCAGCTAAACTCGGTCAGTTAATGATACAGGGGAAGAAGAAAAGCACCAGCAGCATCAACTGTGCATTTCGTGCATCTCGGTGAGCCACTGCCAACGGTTTGGGCTAGACCGCACCAGCTTACATACATACAGGTACCTAGCTGGAGAAGTACTACAGGCACGCCGTCAAGGCCGGATTACCTTGCTTTGTGCTACTCCGAGCGTCTTGGAATTCGCTATGTAATAGTATGTTTGCTGCCGATTCAGTCGCCAAAATGCAAGCCCACGGTAAAGAGCCGGAAACAGATCCCAGACATGTCGAAGCGGGAGCTGGAGACTTGATTGATGCATCCAATCGCCCAACAGCGGCTGCACGGCCTAAAACCGCCTCCGATTTAGGCCCCTTTGGCCCCCCAGATATAGTACCTAAGGTAGGTAGGTAGCGTCAATCGTTGAAGCCGGAACCCCTGGCACCGAACCTCCAAGCCCAAAGTGTGTAAATACCGTGTATGTACTCGTACTATCCATATTAATCCATCAATAGCACATGCGCCATGTCCATTAGATCTGGTACCCGACTCCTCACATCACTGGTAGTAGAAGGTCAGTTATTACCACAGACGGCAATAGTTGGGTAGCAACGCTAAATGTCCAGGTAGAACGGTGTAAGTGCTAGCAACATCAAAATCAGTCAGCCCGAGTGCAAGCACAAAGCTCAATGATGAGTTGAGGCGACAAACGATGAAACATTGTCGGCTGAGCCATTATCGTTCCCCCCCCCCCCCCCCCCCCCCTCGATATCAATCCTTCCACCAACTCCCTGAAATTGGGGTCTGTCAGGAACCAGTTTAGAGGCCCAGTGCACACCCGGACACCTTTTGTTTCCGTAGATTGCCGTGGATTTACACCAAAATACTACATACAAACCCATGTCCCTTTTATTTCCAAGTATGTACATACCACCTATCCAGGTTGTGATCAGTGAGATCCGTCCCGCTGGGCACCAACCGCTCCGATGACAGCCGTGTGCTGCATTAAAGGGGGAAACACAGAAACCAGTTCACTCTCACTCGTCTCAGTATTTAACTCGCAAATCCCGGACCAACTTCAGATGAAACTGAAGAGAACCAACTTTTTTTCATCTCATCCCTTATATAACAATTATTCCGGCCTGGCGGCAACTTGGGTGGCCCGTACTCTTTCTCTCCTCTCACGTCCCCTGCTTTCGCTCTTCTCCTTTTTTTGGCCACCTGTCAACGCTAGTAGCAGTAAAACTGCCTGTCGAAACCTCATGGGCGACCACTCCGACATCGTCAAGACCACAACGACCTCATCCACCACCACCAACAACAACAACCACACAACCACCACCACAGAAATGTCCAACATGCTGGCTCTCACGCATCACAGCACGCCTCAGCCGCCTCAGGACCTGACCATGGCGGTCTTGGGCTGCGGTAAGTCTCAATGAAAAGCGAAGGGCGAAAAATAAAAGGGCGAAAAGCAAAAAGCAGCCTCACCATGAAAAAAACCCGTCGTCGTCGTCGTCTGAGTTGAGAGACTCATGCAAAAAACTCACTCAGGCACAATGGGCATCGCCATCCTCAACGGCATCCTCACCTCCCTGGTCGAGATGCAAGGCCCCAAGCCCCTCCAGTCCGGCGCCTCGACGCCCTCGGAGGACATCCCGCGCTCGCTGCCCTCGCGCTTCATCGCCTGCGTGCGCACCCCCGAGACGGCCAAGAAGGTCAAGGGCGCCCTGTGGGAGCACTCGTCGGTGCTCAAGGTCGTCCGCAACGACAACCTCGCCGCCGTCCAGCAGTCCCAGGTCATCCTGCTGACCTGCAAGCCCTACATGGTCAGGGACATCCTGGGCGCCCCCGGCATGGCAAAGGCCCTGCACGGCAAGCTGCTCATCAGCGTCTGCGCCGGCATCACCGTCGAGCAGCTCGAAATCGCCCTCCACGGCGCCGTGCCCTCCAAGGACCCCGACGAGGACGGCCGCTGCCGCATCGTCCGCGCCATGTGCAACACCGCCGCCCTCATCCGCGAGTCCATGACCGTCATCAGCGCCACCGAGCCGCCCCTGCCCCGGGAGACCGAGACCCTCGTCACCTGGATCTTCAAGCGCGTCGGCGACGTCGTCTACCTGCCCGCCCGCTACATGAACGCCTCCACCGCCCTCTGCGGCTCCGGCCCGGCCTTTTATTCCCTCTTCCTCGAGGCCGCCATCGAGGGCGCCGTCGCCATGGGCCTCCCCCGTGCTGAGGCGACTAGGATGGCCACTCAGACCATGCGAGGAACCACCGGCCTCATCCAGAGCGGTGAACACCCGGCTCTGCTCAGGGAAAAGGTCTGCACTCCTGGAGGCTGCACCGTTAGCGGCGTGCTCGTCCTCGAGGAGGAGCGCGTGCGTGGCACCATCTCCAAGGCCGTGCGGGAGGCCAGCCGCGTGGCCGGCCAGCTCGGTAAGAACATCCAGGCCGCTACCGTTGTTAACCAGGGCGACGCTCATCTGCACTTTGATGAGTAGGCGAAGTATGTGGGCAGAGGATTTGATGGGTTTCTTTGGTCCATGATGTGTCTTGTTCATATGAAAGAAAAGCATTTGGCATGCTTTGCTTGCTCGGGTTCCCCTGTTATACAATAGATTACATAGAGCCACTGTTTTTTCTTTTCTCTCCTGAAAGTAGTATCAAAGTTTTCCCGCCCAACGCCTGCTATAACATTTCCTATAGACCCTATTTCAGGGGAGTTCATGAAACCAAGCCCCCATATGCCCGCCATTCCTCTCAAGCGTCCTCCACCCTGGCCTTCTTGCTAGACGTTGCCTCTTCCATGACTTCGTCGATGCCGTCATCCGCTTTTCGCTTTCCGTTAGACGGAACAGAGTGCTGCATAGCACGTTCGTGGGCTGCCAGGATCCTGGCGTATTCCAGCTCCACACTGCCCAGCGTTTCTGACAGCTTTTCGATCCTCTCACCGAGGTCCATTTGGGAGAGTACCTCTTTGTTGTGGCGGTATAACCGCTGCTTGACAATGAGCTGCCACAGCTTTTCCTGGTGCTTGTCCGCCGCTGTAGGAGACGGAACGTCGTCATCGAGTGACATGGTCGGCCGAACTGACCGTGGCAGCTGGGACATGAGGTGCATTTCCAGAACGCGGTAGAACTGCCGAGGCGCAATCTTGGCCTTTAGCCGAATCTTCTCGAGGTTTTCCTGCCCAACAATGAGGGGAGGCAGAGGCCCGGACTTGGGTACAGTCACCTTAGTGTCGAGGCGAAGGTTTTTGAATTCGGGCATGTTTCGCAGAAACGTCAAATCGCAAGTATCCCGCAAGTCGTCAAAGGCCTCGTTGGGGTTTTCCACCACAAACTCTTGCGTCTGGGGATGATCGTAGTAGTGTTTGAAGATGGCGTTGTAAAGGTGCGCGCCATTGCCCTTGCCCTGGAACGGCGGCAGAATAATAAACTGGGAGAGCCTTGTTCTGCACGGAAGTTCGGACAAGTCCATGTCACCCGCCGGCAGCTCCCAGTTTTCACTCGGCGAAGTGGGCGGCGTCGGTATCGCTGGGAAATAAAAGAAGCGGTAGACTGTGGCGTAGCCCACAAAAGTGTATGATGTCTTCTCCGGATCGTCGACTGACTTCTGCTTGCGGTACAACAAGAAGAAGGTCCACTTGTCGGCATCTGAGAGATCCGGCGTCGTCGAAGGGCCTGCCTCTCGATCCTCGCCAATGTACGAGCCTCCGTCGATGAACAGGCGAGCAAAGATTTGAATGCGGCTGTTGAGCTGCTTGATGGCAGGATCGAGAAGGCTTGCCGTGCGAACCTCGTACTGGCCATCGGAGCCATCGAAGCTTTTGTACAGCGTTCCGGGCGGAGTCCAGTTGTCGCCAAGCTGCTGCGAGCTGTTCTCAAAGTCCGACCCCTTGACAAAAGCGACTGCAGCAGGTCAGTATAGATGATTTTTGTTTGGTTTACCCAGGATATCCAGGCGGCAAGAGCGCGAACCTTTGGGCAGATGGCCTCCCTCCTCCAGAATTTCCACGATGTCGGTGGGCTCATGCTCGCCGACAGGCTTCATCTTCTTGCTGTATGCGACCCGCAGGTGCGGGCGCATGTCGTTGGCGCGATACCGCAGGTTAATTTTCAAGTCCTTGTATCCAAAGAATTTCTCGTCGTCGCCAAAGATGGAGTAGGTGAACTTGGGGTGGAACGTCGCAATGGTCTTGAGGCCCGCCTTTGACGGCGACACCAGGCTGATGTTGAGCGCATCGTTGGCATCCGCGTACCCTAGATATTAAGTCAGCACTGGAGAGCTCTGAGAGCGCAAATTGAAGCTTACACTCTTCGAGGTCGGGGAGACCAGCCATGGTCAGAGGAGGGGATGCGACGATGCTGAAGCTGTTGCAGCTGATGAACCCTCGAGGTGGTTGATCGCGCCAAGGGAAAAAGATGCGCACGCGAGAAAAGAGACAGGCGGCAACGGCAGCGTTGAGCGCTTCCCAGTGTACGCGATGAGATGAAGACTGAAAGAGAGAAAGAAGGAAAAATACACAAAGAAGAAGAAAATGTGTTCGTTGCAGTAAGAAGGCGACAGGTAAAGAAGCGTCTATCAGCTGCAAATCGAGCCTCGCAGCAAAAGCGCGTCTGCAGCAAGCCAGCCAGCTTAACGCGACTTCAATTAAGCGGCTGCATGCGATACTCTACAGTACTACTACCTTATGTACCGCGGGCTGCATTGATGCCCTGAATCCAAGGCAGAGACAGCCAAGTGCACTAGGCCCTGAGCCGTTAGGGAGCCGTTCCTTGCAATATTACGTCACGCCTGCCAGAGCCGTCGAGTGGGTCTGTGAAACGCATCCAGAGCATCTCCAGCAGCTTCGGTGGGCGTTATCCGGACTTGGTCCATCCATACAACCATTCGATTCGCCCGCAGAAAGTCGTCCACCAGCCGACAGCTGCACGAGCACGAGCATTTTCTGTCTTACGTGCCTTGCAGCAGCTCTCCCAGCACATCGAAAACATCCCGCAACCGCGTGGCCGCCCTGCAGCTTCTGCCGCCCGAGCGCGCATATGGCTCTCCCCCCTGAAGCCTCGCCTCAAGATGCCTGAAATTGCGAGCAGCCCGACGCCAGTGGGCTCCTTCGTCTTCTCCTCCATCGCCCTGCTGCTGGTGTCGCTGGCCGTGCTTCTGATATTGCGCCACTACCTCCCGCTCCGAACGACGCCCGCCTTCTACATCGTGCCCATCTTCTTCGCCCTCTGGCTCCCCTCGGTTCTCGTCCTGCTGGTCCCCATCGACCTCGCTTCAAGCGCCATAACGGACGATGTTGCGTCGCGGGGTATCTGGCTGCCTCAGCGCGTGGTGCTGGTGCTGTGGAGGATCACGTACTGGCTGACGTTCTGCCTGACATGGTGAGAGAGCCTCTATATGACTCTACCTTGTGGTGCATGCATCGCGATTCTAACCTGCCGCCTCTCAGGTTCATCCTTCCCATCCTTGCCGAGTACTCTGACACCGGCTACCGCGAGCCCTACGACAAGTTGATGTATTCGCTCCGTGCAAACGCCCAGTTCTACGCCATGATCCTAGGGGCCGGCGTTGTCGGCCTGGTGTACATCTTCATCTCGTACGAATTCTCCTTTACGGCGCTCAAAGCCCTCCTCATGGCTCTGTCTTACTGCTGGGGTCTGATTCTTGCAATCTACCTAATGGGCCACGGCCTAGTTTCGATACCGCGACACCTCCTTCGAAGCGGAAGCATTAGCGGTAGACTCCGGAGCCTACAGATCAAGGCCCCCAGGGTGTATGAGAAGATGGAGGACTCGCTCACCGCGGTCGAGGAGGTCGAGCAGCAGGTGTCGGAGCTCAGCCGGCGAAAGACGGGAACCGCCGCGGCGTTCCAGGACTGGATCGAAGAGCTTCAGGAGATGGCCAATGTCCCCGAGTCGCAGCCGCGGTCATCGCTCCTCGATCCAACCGCGCCTCGTCAAGCCGTTCCGCATGTCATCACCGAGAAATACCTGGCCGACCTGACGCGGAAACTCGTGCGCGCACGGCATTCACGATCTCAATATGTTGGGGAGTGGACGCGGTTGGTGCACGAGGCCGCCAAGCTTCAGATGATCCTGGACTCGGTCGCCTCCAAGAAGCTCGACTTTGGCGACGTCTCGCCTCACGCCGGCTTCTGGGACAGGGTGAAGATCTTGACGCCGTATTCGCGATACCTCTGCTACTACTACGTCTTTCCATATGTGCGAATGGGTTTCGGTGCGCTTTTGGGTTTCGCCTCTGCTTGCATCGTCTGGTCGGAAATCGTCAAGTTTCCCTTCCCCAAGCTGTCCATTATCCGTGTCAGCGTTGTCCACCACTGGGTGGGCGACAAGGCGCAGGTCGGGTTTGCAGGACAGGTCATCGCGGCGCTTTGGATCTGCTACATGTGCGCTGCGGCTCTTTCGTCCATGACGGAGATCAAGGCATGGCGCGGACGAGCCCTCGTCAAGCGAAACACCGGACACGAAGCAGCGTTCTGGTTCGCGTCGCAAGTGGCCAAGCTCAGTGTTCCCCTCTCATACAACTTTCTCACCTTTCTGTCCAAAGAAGTCTACGAAAAGACCATCTTCTATCACTTCCTCGGGCAGTACGTCGACGTCACGCCCCTGGGCAAGTGGTTCGACAACTTCTTCCCCATCGCCCTGGTGATTCCCATCTTGGCTACCCTGTTTGGGTTATACGGTCGGGTCAAGCGCATCTTTACCGGCGTCGACATCATTGATGACGAGGAGGACAACCCGACGGGCTACGGCACGGGATCTTGGCGCGAGGGCCGCGATCTCATCGCTAGGGAACTGGGAGGCTCAACGCCGCGGCGCAGTGCCCTAGCCAATGGAGCCACGGGCCGAGCAGCTCCTATCCTGTCTATTCCAGCCATCCAAGATTCTTCCGCCAGACCATCGAGATCACCGCTGCGATCGCCTGTCAGCAACACTCGCCGAGCTGGTCAGGCACCGCCTCGCTTCACCGACGAAGTGCCCGAAGACGACAACATCTTTACCATCATAGGGCATCGCATGAAGAACACGGTGGACTCGTTTGAGACGCCGCAGTGGTTCCAGGACATTGGGCAAGGCATCAAGAAGCCCAAGTGGATGGGAGGAAGCGATGCCCAGCCTGCGAATGCCGCCAGCGGGAGCAGCAGCAACAATAATAACGGGACGGACATAAGGAGGTGGTTTGGAGGCGGTGATAGCCACATCCGCATCTGATTCAAGACAAGTGCCCTTGCCGCTTTTTATTTCTTTTTAATCCTTCTTCTGGGTATATATATGTTCTGTCTTGGATATGGGCGACGTCATGGAGTTGGGGTGCTTGATGACATCTAGGGTCTGTGGAGTTTCTGTTTTCTTCACTTCCTAGATTATAGATTCAGCCGTTGTTGTGTTTCAAACTTTTTTTTTTTCTGTTTTGTTATACCAGCGTTGTAATATCTCGTCTTGATACATATTCACTTCAAAACGGCTTCAAGAGC